AATCGATCGATTTGTGGCCGAAAGTTGTCGAGGAAACAAAGACTTAAAACCCTTTGAGCAAGCTCGGTTGCTGTGCTGATCGATTTGAAGATCAGTTTCAGTTAAACATGACCCAAGTGACGATACGGGAAATAAAAAGTGGAAATTCGATGTTAAAGGTAAGCCTTCGCGTTCAACTCTTTACCAAAATAAGAAACTTAAACGGAAACTCGAATGCTACCACAACGCTGATGAAAAACGTCGGCCTGACGTTTTCAATTTTGAACCCGTCTTTATCTTGTTAACACAGAAACTGTGACTTTTGAATTTCAGTGTATGTAGTGAAGATATGATTCATACAAGTACCAAACAGCTGCCTTAAAATCATATTTTCTAATATAGAACAACAATACAATGTTAGTCAAGCTTGAATTCACGAATAAAATAGGAATAAAATATGACTGTTTATTCCAACACACGTCTAGTTGCTGTTTTAAATATTGTGGGTCTGGGATACTTTGGAGAAAATAGAATTAAAATAGACTATTTAATAAATATTTATTCTAAAATAAATATTATATTAAATAAATATTATAAAATAGGATTGTGATAGCCTATTTTTTTCTTATTTTCCAAAGGAATTGGCCATAACTTGACCTATCAGCAGAAAATATATATAAAACAGCCTATTTTATCACTATTTTACTGATGTAGGGAATAAAAATAGGATGAAATAGTCTGTTTTTCTGGTTATTTTTCCACTTGTTGAAAGAAAATAGAAATAAAATACACCCCTTTGTTCAATCTTGCTTTAAAATAGGTTTAAAATAAAAGTAAAACACAATTAAGATAGTGACTCTATTTTCCCTACCAGGTAAAATGGGAATAAAATACAAGTCTGAGGGAAAAAAAAAAGTATAAAAAATAGATGTGATAGCATTAAAATAGACATGAAATAAAAATTAAATAGGACTGTTTTTGCAAGGGTAGTATTTGAGAGAGAGGAAGAAAGTTCTTAAAACATTCTATGTTAAATAAAACTTTGTCATGAATGTTAGTTGCGACACCAACGAAAATATTTGTGAAGCTGCAATAACAATTACCTTTCCATGTACAAACCATAATGAAGCATAATGTGGATAAATTTCATTTCACCCAGTTTGAATGTAGAGTCCGAAATCTAATTAACTTACTTATGAGTATGTGTTTTTTCCTCCTTCTGTCATTCTAAATGTCACATATCAATTATGCCACCACCTCAGTGTGATTTTTTTTTACTAGGAATTCCTAGGAATTCTCGAAAATTCCCAATTATGCAAATAACCCTTGCCAACCGAGTTCTCAGTTTTCTGGGAACTCCTAGGAATTCCTTGGAATTCTCAAAAATTCCCAACTATGCAAATAAGCTCTGATTTGAAAAGCTTGGAATTACTGGGAATGGAAGACTCCAGTTTTGTGAGGACTTTCAATTCCTAGGAATTCCTAGAAATTCTCAGCTATATAAATTAATTCCAAGAAATTCTCAATACTTTGACTGTGAAGGTTTTAAGAAAAAGAGTAATTTTAAGAGGCTTAAAACTTTGGCGCAATAAAAAATTTCTATGCAAAATTTACCAAGAGATATACGTACATGTATATGTTTATAACTTAAAGATCACGAGAGTTATTATTCAAAATAAGTTTAAGTAAATCTCTACATTAATATGGATTTTCTCATGAAGCAGCAGTCAATTATGTTAAATCCAAATTGCCGATTAATCCAATGTACTCATATCACAGATTTGCTATCTAATCTCTTAGATTCCATGGTCGTAAAAGTTTTTACTGTGATGCAAAATGTCTCATGTTCACAGATGTGCCAAAATCATCAAACATTCATTAGTGCACAACTTCCACATGTGTAACAATAATTACATTGTTATCCACACTTAAATAACTTAGTTAGTTCTAAACATAAATCACTTCCCTACTCTACATTACTGGTTGCCTTTGTTAGAAAACCTTGGAATAGTCAAGCTCAGTTCCCTCAAACACTGTCAGAGACTTTCTATTCACATTATTTTCAGCAGAAAGTTCATGCCTTAGACAAACAAATTCAACACCTAATTAATCTTTCTTTTTCATGATTGTTGCTGCTGTTTTTTTCAGTGTTTTGCTCTGCTTTTGTGACTGATTACTGTAATTTGTTTTGTCGTTTTTATTCTTACAAAACATTTTTGTAAGAGTTCCAACACTTGTGGATCATCTGCACAATTGGCAAATGTTTGGCATGCAGACAAGACAGAGGTAATCACTGCTCCCTTTGAGAAAAAACACCTTTTAAATTACTTCTTCAATTTGCTTTATTTGAAAGTCTGATCTGAAAATATATTTAAAACAAGACTTGTTAGTAGTGAGAGGTACAAACCGATTTTCCTTTCATAAATTAATTTCTTAAATGTCCCAATCACTGAATCTCCCAAAAAATATTACTTCTTTTTATTTTTGGTACGAAATACAAGTCCTTCTTAATATACAAATGAAAAGTGCAAAGCACACTTCAACAGTAACACCTCTAAAGTTTACTTGTTGTTCTTCTCTACCTGTCAGCTATCAACAAAATTGTTTTATACTTCGGACAGTGCATAACCACTTGTGGACCAGAGTTCCAACGCACCTCTGTGATCGCATATAGTTGCTTCTTTCTCTTGTACAAATGTTTCTCCTTTATGAGACGCGCTCTCCTCTGTTGGCACTACTGCTTTAAGTTCAGTGGAAACGTTAGACTGAGGAATCGAGATGGCGGTTTTGGAAGGTGTTGCTAAACGCTTGTTACGGTCAATCTTTGTTGATTTAGGTACTGATACTGTGATCATCTATGTATCTCTTATACTTCCTGATCTGGTATCCTTCTTTCATAAAAATGAGGGTACAGGACGATTTGTAATCGCATTCAAAATTGTGATTGGGTTATGTTATTTCTCACCTTTGCCTTAAACACAACTCAAGCGGGTTTTGAGTCTTTGTTTCTTCGAAAACTTTCGGCCAGAAATCGTGCATTTTAGTACAATCGATTCTTTTCGATTATTTCTAGCTAGAGTGAGCTCAAATCATTATTATATCACCGTCAGAACATGGATCCAATGCATCCATCGTCCTGAAGCAGAGAACCGGTCGGAGAAATAACCTTGTGCGCTTCTCTTGCAAGCCAGCGGATTCAGTTTTCTAGCCAATGACAAGTCCTAAAAGATCCACGTGATCATGCCCGTGATCAGAAACAAAGAAGATTCCATTGGCACTCATCTTTGAGTGTACTTTTAATCGGTTGATCGCTCGTGTGTTAAGCTATTTCTTTTCTCGACTGTTTTGCCTAATATAACATTCTAAAGAAAGGTTTTAATGTGGTTCAAGTCTGTCATTTAGGATAACTTCATTCTAATTTATTTTTACAATTACAACAAGATTTTAATTAAAAAATCAATTATATCTTACTGTAATTGACCCCTTTATTACCAAAAGTGCTAGGTCAAAATTTAAGAAGAAATCTTTGAATTTCAATGTGCAGAATCAACAAAAACAAAGAGTAAAACATGAAAGTGCTGCTTGACAGCTTACATTTGATGTTCACAAACAAGAGTTTTATCCAAATGAGTTACAACCACATAAAATCAAGTCAAAGCCTATCTCTGGGAGTGAAAGGGTTAAATACCTTTTGTATGATCATCCAAACTTAAATGATTCATTTTAAGACTATTTTTAGACCGATAGTATTAATTGCAATAAGTATAATTTAAGAAATTGTATTTTACGGAAAAGAATCAGCAGATTTTATTCACAATTTGTGTCTAACCAAACTTAATGATTGATTAGGACTATTTTACTTGAATAGCTGTAATTGAGGATTAATTCCTTTGAAGTTTTCAAGAAAAGAAAAATAAATCAAATTCCATCCTAATATTACTACATGTTGATTTTAATATACAATCAAAAATATTGAAGCTTTTTTTCCAGATGAACAGGGAGGTCGAGGAAGTGATCCCTACGAAGTGATAACTTACGTGTTTTTATCACTCCTGATCCTTGCAGGGGGGTATATATTTCATTTAAGGAGACGTGATAAACGCCGGAACCAAGGAAGTGCTACGTTTGAAGTATGAATTTCACGAGCCAAGCGATAATGTAATTTTTGTAAAAAAAAAAAAGTTTAAAGAACCAAAACAAAAAAAATGAAAAGTTAAAGAAGAACGCATAGAAAATGTGAAATTTTTTGCGAGTTTTGTCCATTGTGATGGCAGAACTTTTTCATTCGTGCACATTAACAAAAGACAAAGCTAAGAATATTAATTGAATGCCTGTAAATATCGCAAAAATTAAAACAACTTCTAACGTTTGTATAGAAGGAAAGGGTTGATAAATTAAAATCAGGAATTTACACTCTCATTGTAAACAGACAAAGAAACTGGAAAAAGGAATCCAAATCCGCATATTTCTACAGCTAACTGAATCATCATCAAAGTGATGAATCGTAAATGATGTACTGTGGAAAATTTTTAAAAAGAGTTCGTATATTGTAAACAGAATATGTCGTTCTAAATAATGATTTGTCAAAATAATTAAATTAAATTGAAGAGACTGTCATTTTTCCACCTCTAGATTTTTAAGCTTCTAATTTTAAATTAAATTTATTGAGAAACAAATCAGTAGAACTTAAAAGAGGTTAAATGTCCCTCTGTATGGTTTCTGTTCACGAAGTCTTGGTCTTCTATACTGTGCTCAGATATGTCCCAGAATTCCAAAGTTGTAACATTTCTCTGCAAGGAAATGAATATTCTTATTAGAACAACAGCAGTGAAATACCACGTGACCTTTCGCGCGAAAACTTGCAAATAGCACGGTCTCTGCGGTTGAATAACAGTTGTGCCTTTTGCAGTTAA